ATTAGAAGCTTATAAAGGTTTTTATGCAGCAGGATTACTGACTAATTTGTTACTTATTCTGTATATCGTTGTAAGTAACTCACTGATAAAAGAAAAACTTGTCAGTAGTTAGAAAAGAAATTATTTCGTATTTACTGATGAAAGCAGTTGTCAGTAGCATATAAAGGTTTTTACGCAGCAGGAATACTGACAAAAGGTGAACAAAATCAGTAACAGGATGAGAGTGAAGCAGCCATAAACAAATGACAGCTAAATATAAGAGCAAATTAGACCTATACTTAATTTGTATCATCTGCTTTCAAGATAGATTCTTGATTTAAATTTTTTTCTTCTTCCTCACTTCTCAAACTTTGAGACACGCGGAAACGTTTACGATGAGGTAGTGAGTCTTGTTTGGAAACCTGATTTGACGCCGTCCACTTGGGGAGAAGTTGTGAACCGAAAATTTTGATCCGGCACGTTTAGTCAGTGTGGCGTCACCGAGACCACTTTCTTCAGCGGTCGCCGAACGCGGCACTGTGCTGCAGCGCTCGGTGACCCAGCTGCTGCGACCCGTGGGGCGCCAACGATCGCGCAGCTCTCAGCGACACGTAGTTATGTGGTGCAAATAACGACGCTCAAGGCGTTTGGAAAGGGAGCGGCCATTACGCTAAGCGGCACTGCGTGCGGACGGTTTAGTGACCGAAGTGCGTTACGAGAGGGGACGTGCGACACCAGAGACCAGAGCGCAGCGCAGCCAGAAGACGCATACCAAATATATTTCCCACGTAGACAATCCGCTCGCACCAGCTTAGTATGGTGTAAGATAGTGCGGATTCCTTATAAATAGGCCTGTTTTCATAATTTCTATTTGTTGCATACACTACAATAAGTGATTTTAACATTTCAGAAATCCATTAACGCAATTGAAATTAATGCAAAACTAAACTTAATAAATGTTGCGTCCATGTTACTTTTAGGTATCAAGTACGTCTCTAAAAGGAAAACCGAATATTTCATAGAGGATTTATTTTATTCTTCTTGAAGAGCATTATTTATCAAAATTAGAATTGTAGGGCAACAAGGAATTTTTGAGAGAGCACTATTAGAGCCACAGTGATTTATGTTTGAACATCTTGCAGATGATGACGGAGCGTGTTTTAAGGGTGTCAGAACAGAGGTAGAGCCGAATCCGCTGTCTGTTTCAACGTAGCTAAGGCTGTTTACGAGGTGGCAGGAAAAAAAGCTCAAATTTCAATGAGATCAAAAAGGCCCTACTAAATTTCGACCTAGGTGCTAGACACCAAATTTTAGACCGATATTGAATTAAACAAAGATTTTCCAGCTTTCTTATCTGTCATGGGAATTTGTTTTTCCATGGAGTTAAGACCAACACCATGGCGAAAGACATGGTAGCATTTGCACTATTCCCATGGTGCGTCCCATGGAAAGATAGTTCCGACCCCGTGGTGGCATTTATTTCCATGGAGGGCCAAGCCGCTTCCTTGTGGAAAAGAAGCTCCACATGGAAAACGGTCCTCCTGCCATGGAATTGTGTTCATGGAGTTCATGTAGCGCATGGGAATGTTCCACTTCTGCTCGTCATTCGATTCCAAGTCAATATGCTTGTGACTTTACAATTTTGAATTGTAGTTGTACGATATCTTTCATGGAAAATTTTCCTGTATCCGGTGCGACAAGTTTTCAGAGTAATCTGGCGAGATTAAAGAAAGCGCGAACTGCTGGGAAAGTTATTGGATGCACCAAAGCCTAGAGATAATCCAGTGGGCAAATGAGTAATAATGGCTAGAGATATCTTTGGGACAACTAGTCACAAAATCCTGGGGTAAAAAACAACGACGACAACGACACCAACAACAACAAGATTCTCGAGTGAATGGGCCCAAGTCCTGGCTTACAGCCTACTGGCCGCGGCGGTAATGACAGAGGTGAAGGTGAGGGTGTACTAGGATGGGCAGCACCCGGTGTCGGTGGCCGGTTAGGATAGGACTCCCCCCCCCCTCTCTCTCTCTCTCTCTCTCTCTCTCTCTCTCTCTCTCTCTCTCTCTGCACCCACTCCGCTCTCCGCCGGACTGCGTTCCTCTCCTTGCCGCTGTGGCCCGGAAGAGCGGGAAGGTCGGTATGTACCGCCGCTAGTTTTCGTCGGCCCAGTGGTGTGAATGGCGCTGAGAACCCAAACACCTTCCTTCCGAGGGGCCTGAGGCCTGCACCTCACTCGGTGGTTTATATTTTAAAAGCCGCAGCAACAACCTAATTATGTGCTTTGCTCCTCCCTCCGTCCCTCACTCTCTCCCCTACACTCCTCACTCACTCACTCACTCACTCACTCACTCACTCACTCACTCACTCACTCACTCACTCACTCACTCACTCAC